AATGGTTCTTTCATCTTTTTTAAGTGGACTTAAGCCACTTTCAAAATAAACCATTCATTCCACCGATTCTTGGAGATGCCACGTGACGTATTCCGCGAATAAATATTGCGCAAAGTTGAAAATATTATTGTACCAGATCAAAATAAACATAGTGGCATACATGTAAATATCAGACTCGGTAGCAGCTGTCAGTCAATTAACCTATTCGAGACGGCGTTTTTTTTCGAACACGGTCACCAGGAGTGAAATTATGTCACGGGGTTTTCCAATTAAGTTTTTTAAACTCAAAATAAAAACTCAATTTTCTTATTGTTGGTGAGTATGTTTATTTTTATTTCTATACTTTACAGATACTATTAATTCAAAAAAAGTCTTATCTCGACGACTACTTTACTCAGAATGACTGATAAATGTTTGTATTATTTATTATTTATCATTATTATAATTATATAATTATTATAATTATATAATTATAATTTTTATAATTCTTATAATTATTATTATAATTATTATAATTATATAATTATAATTTTTATAATTCTTATAATTATTATTATAATTAATGTTATAATTATATTACACAAACGGTGTGCAATCGGTCTCGAATGGGTTAAACGACCGCGACTGACTTCTAATAGTGTATTTCGTTTTCATCTGTGCTTCGAGAGTGGATTAATTAAGGAAGGGTTGCTATGAGTCAATTATTTTTGTAAACAATACGGGTAAAGTATCCGTGTAACGGATGGTTCGTTGACATTTTCCTGTTTAAATTCCAGACTCCGATTACTGTTCCATCGTGAAGGGGATCCCGCCGTACGACGAGGGTCGGCGGCTTCTGGATTTAATGGACATGGCTGTTCTGGACTTCCTCATGGGGAACATGGACAGACACCACTACGAGACCTTCAAGATATTCGGGAACGACACGTTTCCCCTGCACCTGGACCACGGTAGAGGATTCGGGCGACCGTTCCACGACGAGATCTCCATTCTCGCCCCCATCTTGCAGTGCTGCATGATCAGGCAGAACACCCTGGGCACCTTATTAAAGTGAGTTTCTAATCGATCTTTCGGAACCCTTTAAACCGTCCAACTGTGAGCCCCACGGATCCTTTAAGTCCTTTGAATCTGCCCGATCTTTTAAACACTTTGGTACTTTGAGTCTTCCGGATCTTTCAGACATCCCGCTACTTTGAATCTTTGTTTCCTTTGGATACTTTGACACTTTGCATCTTTAGACCTTGCACTCTTTAGACCTAGAGTCTTGGGACTCGGCGATCTCGCAACTTTGAAATTCCGAAGCTCCGGAACTTTCAAACCCCCGAATCCTCAAGTACCTTTAGTCTTGTTTTCGTATTATTCGAGGACGTAGCAACTAGTGTCTATTTTAGATAGCAAGTTAACTTCCTTGAATAACGTTAAAAATTCAAATCCGAAGACTCTTATCGATAAAAGATCCCAAACTGTAAACCTCATTCTCTAAACGATCTACCATTCATCTTCGATTAACCCTTTGCACTCGAGAGGTGACTCTCAGTCACCACCTGATTCGATACAATAAAACTATGAAGTTGAATATTTAATATTTCAAATTAAAATTTGCATTGCTACGTGAGATGTTTAAATAAAAATTAAATTAGTTTCAAGCAATATGACCTATATCTCGTCAGAAAATACTGAATATTTCCATTGAGAAACTTTCGAGTGCAAAGGGTTAACTTGCTCTACTTTACTAATAATACTTATATAAGTTTATTTATTCAATAAACGTTTAGTGATATTTTCAGAAAGCCTTATTACTAATATTTATTATTAAGATAATTTCAGTCAGAACATTTTCTTCCAATTTTTAAAAGACACAATAACCTCTTGCCCTAAAGTTTCTCAACTATGATCCATTTAATTATCTTGTCATTAATACTTCATTGAAAAAGAAGAAATTCTAGGCTCGTCCTATGTCTATGTTTGCCCTAAGGTATAGTAATTAACAGACGAATAATACTGAATTCGAATTCAAAAGAGTCGAGTAATATTCATGTTTATTACCTTCTGTTTAACGCTAACCGTACCACTTTTCCTGTCGCAAGCAGTCAAATAACTGGCTGCAAAATAAAGATGAACAACATCGATGATAAATGTTTTCCAGTGAAAACGGGAGCAAAAGGAAATGCAATAATTGGAGAACTGAGTAATAGGACAATATAGGAATTGATATTAAAGTTAAATATATGAAAAAAAACCTAGAATTTCAACCCTCTGCACTCGGAAATCTTTCATTAGAAATATTCAACATTTCAATGAGTTATAGATGACGTTCTTTGAAACGAACTTAATAAGAGAACATCCGTTAATTTTTGTAACAAAATATTTTTAGCAGACACATGGTCAAGAATAGCTGTATACGTTACAAAGCACCGAAAACATCAAGAAACGATGTCAAAATATATAAAATTAAAAAAAAACTTGAATATAACTTAATCTTTTATTTAAAAAATCAATACAGTTCCTAAGCAAAATATGACCGAAATTTTCGTGACATGGAACGTGTTAACGAAGGATTAGCAATTAACCCTTTGCACTCGGAAGTTTTTCAGTAGAAATATTTGGACATTTTCTGATGAAATATAGACGACATTGTTTGAAACTAATTTAACGAGAATTCACAGATAAATTAAGCAACAAAGCTATTTTATTTAAATATTTCGCATTGCAAAATATAATTTTAATTTAAAATACTGAATATTCAACTTCAGTTTTGTTGTATCAAATCAAGTGGTGACTGAAAGTCACCTTTCGAGTGCGAAGGGTTAAACGATAGACGCGAAGATTCTTTGAAATGTACAAAACCTTTAACAGACGAAGCTAAATTCCATATCGATCACATAAATAATAAAAATAACGTAACTACGTACTGGTCTCTTGCTGTTTGAGTAATTAGATCATTCGTTTGCCACGTACTGTTCCAAATATGAAAATCTGATCTCCGAAATGTCGACGTTCGTCCGCAAAGGGTTAATTTCTTACGGTGGTATTGAAACCGCGATGGTATCGAGTCGGAAGCAACCAAAGGAGATCAATCCGATGAAATTTACAATTCAGAGCGTCGGCGGGTGAGCTGTCTATCCGGTCTCTCTCGCTCCGCGGATTTCGAAAAAGGGAGAGACGCCGGGGAAAACTTTACGAGCCGCGAGGGCCGAATGGGAGGCCGCGGATAAGGCGGATTTCGGAGTGAAACGTTTTACCAGAATTGCCGGGCCGCTACCTCGTCGTCGTCGCTCGTGAATCTCCGC